TTTCGCAGTCGCAGTAATTTGTTATCGCTAGCAAGGCGAAAGTTATGTTGACGGCAGCGCTCCTACCATTTGGACGGAATGCGTAGGCCAGACGCTACAAGGCTGTGAAATTGATAAGTCGCAATTCCTACCGCCTGTCTTGCGATATAGCAGACAAAGCCCGGTAACGGGTTAGTGGCAGGTGTATTCAACGTGATCAGTGCTCGCACGGCAACCTTGTTAAAGTACCTCCGGCGGTCATTGGCTTCCGTTATAGTGGCCAATGCACGTAATCACCAACCCTGAAGTATACGAAGGTGGAATCGACCTTTCTTGACTGTTGTCCTCGAAATAATCACACAATTTTTAATCTCAACCATTCAGAAAATAAAATGAATGCTTTTAAGGTATGCGGTATAATCAACTCCAAGGAACAGAGTCGTTCTTGAGAAGCTGAAAAACCGAGGCTTATTCTACGATGCTCACCACTGGAACCTCTTCTGAGCAATTTGATGTGATATACATTCTACTTAAGACGCATTTAATTCATCGACTCTTAGGTCTATCAAATGACCCGTTCCATTAAGATATTTGATTAAAATAAGATTCGCATTTCTCAAATTCTCTTTGCTTGCTTGCAATGTCGTCCTCCGTGATTTGATTATCCTAATAATGATATCTGGCAAAATCACAAATTTAGAAGTTCCTAGCCGTGTAGTTTTCTAAGTCCCCAACTCGTTTATTCTCTAATTGATCCAAATATTCTTGTGAGCATTTTATGTTTTACCATATATAAGAAATAGTGTAATTAAAATAATAAATTTCTCCAAATATTTGCTATGAACCATGTCCGGTCCCACGATATAGACACAAGGCTCCACACTATCTTCTAACATAATTCCAGATGTTAATCCTTATTTTAATGTCTATCGGTTGTGTCTTTTTGATTAAAGTAATTAGAAATAATTCTGTATACTGCTGCAAACAAAAACTTTCAAATTCACAGTAATATATTGTATATGAATAAAGGAAATATATTTTAGAGGCGTTGGTACTGGCAAACAATTTGTCGTGTTTGTGACGTCATAATTATAAGAATTTAATAGAATTTCTAATAGTAGTTGAAAATGCATTTGATTATGGACTTGACTGCACGACGTAAACTGCTGTCCAGAACTGAAACCTGAGATAAATATTTTCAGCAACGCCTGACCATGAAAAAGAATAAGAAACAGATCAGATTCAGTTGCAGATGAACCCAATATAACTGACGATGAAGAAATAACTTTCTCTAACAGTGAACGTAAACAAGCAATTTTGAAAATAATTTATATTTTCGAATCCGTGTTATCTTCCCGTCTGCTTTCGAAAACGCTGTCGACTGGGATACAGAACAATTATTTTGAAAAGGTGTTAAACGTGATTTTCAGCTTAATAAAAGTGTTTAAAAATAATGTGCAAAAGAAAATGAACGCTTAAAGGAATTTGTTCGATCATTATTCAGTTGGAATGGCCAACCTGTCATATTTAAAATACTTAAGCCACAGATGACCCGTACGAAACACAATTTCACGCTGATTAAGATCAATGCCTAAAATACTGTTTCCCAATAATTTGCATCAACTTACCATAAACTTATTTTGATTCCCTAAACCAGTAATCAGTGTCCTTGGCATGGCTTTCTATTGACATTACAGAAACACTGCCTCCTTCATGGTGTAATCTGTTAACCATAAGGCAATGTAAACATAGATCTGTCAAATATTGAAAAAGTTGTCTTAAATCACGTACAAGTACCTGATGTTAGTTGGCTACGATCAGCTTTATAATTGTTTATCTTTCATGAGAATCACACCATTTGTTCAGTTCACAGTCAAGAACATTTGTCAACGCCTACGGTCTGTTCGTGACCCCTGAATCCCATCTTGGCCTTGGTGGTTGCCACAGAATAACCCCGAGCAATACATTATGCGTTTTCATTGTCATCCATTAGCTTCGCCATTAGATGTCATCACAACCGCCGAGTTTAACTTAATTCTACTCATGATATTTTCTAGTAGATTTTATTGTACAGGTTCTGAGCTGTGTCACATGGGCTAGTGTAAGAAATCCTTCGGTTGCCGATGTAATTTTTAATTTTCGGTCACGTTATTTATGAACTGTTTAGTGTTTTATTGTCCTGGCTAATTTACAGAACGAATAATTAAAGTTTGACGAAATTATCGGATGCAGGTGAGATTCCTTCTCAGGGTGATTATACCGTTATATTATTGAAATGAGATAGAAAGTGGAGGTGTGAAATTGTGACGCTCTAAGGTCCAATTTTTGTGGTAGACGTATATTTGTTGAATTTACATTAGGATGAACACTTTGAATTGTAAGGAGTAGTTACTAGCGATCAAGGAACCAAACTTAATACGAGGGTGAGTCAAATGAAAACCGTAAATTTTTTTTTAAATTTAATTTATTGAGTGAAAGCGGTACACAACTATATCATTTTTCTACACAGTCTACATTTCGTTCAATACAGGCCCTCCAGCGTTTACGAAGTGTATGGATTCCTCTAGAAAAAAATTCTTGTGGTTGTCTGCGCAACCACTCATGCACCGCCTGCT